CCTAGGAAGTCTACTAAGTCTGTCACATCGTCTTGTTGAAGCAGGACCAAGGTACCTCTCCGCCCCTTCACCCCTGTTTCTAGGCTGGGCAAGGTATCTCTCTGTACAGAATAGGCTCCACTAAGTCAGTTTGTGCATTAGTGTTAGATCTTAGACCCACTGCCAGTGGTCTCATATATTGTCCCAGTCAGACCACTGTCACCAGTATTAAGGGAGCCTAGTTTGGTCTATGCAGGTTCCCCATATGTCAGACCTGTATTCCTATTCTTTCTAAGACCTTTACCATACAGAGATGTGGAATTTTGCTGAAGGCTTTATCAGCATCTAGTGAGATGATCATGTGTTTTTTTTTTTTTCTTTCAGTTTGTTTATATGGTGGATTTTTGATGGATTTTTGAATCTCTGAGATGAATCCATCATGGTGGATGATTTTTCTGATGTGTTCTTGAATTCTGTTTACCAGTATTTTATTGAGTATTTTTGCATCTATGTTCATGAGGGAAATTGGTCTGTAATTCTCTTTTGTAGTTGTGTCTTTGTGTGGTTTGGGTATGATGGTAAATGTAGCCTCATAAAAAAAGTTTTGCAATGTTCCTTCTGTGTAAATTGTGTGGAATAATTTGAGGAATATTAGCATTAGATCTTCTTGGAACATCTGGTAAAATTCTGTACTGAGTTTGGTCCTGGGCCTGGGCCTTTTTTGGTTGGGAGACTATTGATACCATTGTTGAAAGTGGGGTGTTGAAATCTCCTACTGTTAGTGTGTGTGGCTTGATGGGTGATGTAAGCTTTAGTAATGATTCTTTTACAAATGCAGGAGCCCTTCTGTTTGGGTCATGGATGTTCAGAATGGAGATTTCCTCTTGATGTATTTTTTCTGTGATTAATATGAAATGCCTTTCTTTATTTTTTTTATTTATTTTAGTTTGAAGTCTATTTTATTAGATATTAGGATACCTACACCAGCTTGTTTCTTATGTGCATTTGATTGGAAAAATTTTTCCAAACCTTTACCGATGGGGGAAGTGCTTCTGTGTGTTTGTCTTACTGGATGATAAATAAAATATTATTTGGCCAATGAGGCAGCAAGTTAGGCAGGACTAGGAGTCAAAGAGGATTCTGGGAAACGTAGTAGAGAAGTGGTATTCCAGGCAGGAAGTGACATAGCAAGGAGACTCATATTTAAGAAAGGAGAAACAGGAAGTGTCCCTTTTCCCCTCGGCGCCTCCTCCAGTGGCGCAATGTGAGCCACCAGCAAGAGAGGGTGCCAGCACAAGGCATCCTCTATAAGTCTTATAAAATATATAGATTTATGATAATTAAGACTGAGCTAATAGATGAGAAATCCTAGTCATTGGCCAAGCAGCTTTGAACCTAATACAAGTCTCTCTGTGTATTAATTTGGGTCCTAAAATGGGAAGGTGGCTGGCATAAAGCACACATGTGATGGTAGGGCTCAGGGGCTTTTGGAGGAAAGATTTATTGTAACACTTTACTCTGAGGTAATGTTTGTCTGTGAGGTTGAGATGTGATTCTTGTATGCAGCAGAAGGATGGATTCTGTTTTCGTATCCAATCTGCTAGATTGTGTCTTTTTATAGGTGAATTAAGACCATTTATATTAATGGATATTAATGACTAGTGATTTTTAGTTCCTGTTATTTTTTATTTTGTTGGTGGAAATGACATTGTGTGTTCAATTCCCATCTTTGGGAATTGCTGCTGTAAGCTAATCTATTTTCTTTGTTCTTGTGGATATCGGTGATTTCCTTGGGTTGGCGTTTTCCTTGTAGTACAAGCAAAGTGATGAGCAAAGGAGTCCAGACCAGGCAGGTGAAACCCACAGAAACAGCTGACCTGAACAAGGGAGAGCTCTCGGTCCCCAGACTGATAGCTAGGAAAACCAGCATAGGACTGATCCAGACCCCATGAATGTGGGTGTCAGTGAGAAGACCTCAGAAATCTATGGGGCCCCTTATAGTAGATCAGTACTTATCCCTAAGCATAGGAATGGACTTGGGGAGTCCATTCCACATAGAGGGATACTCCCTGAGCCTAGACACACGGGATGGGCCTATGCCCTATCCCAAAAGATAGGACAGACTTGGAAGACACCCTATGGAAGGCCTCACATCCCTGGGGAGCAGAAAGTGTATGGGATAGGTAGGGTGTTAGCTGGGAGGGGGGGCAGGGGAGGAGGGGAAGGAGAGGGAATTGGAATTGACATGTAAAACACTCTTGTTTCTAATCCAAATAAAAAATTTAAAAAAAAAGAAAGTAAGGGGTTTTTTTTGTTTTTTTGGTTTTTTTGGTTTTTTCGAGACAGGGTTTCCCTGTGTAGCTTTAGAGCCTGTCCTAGTACTCGCTCTAGAGATTACGCTGGCCTTGAACTCACAGAAATCTTCCTGTCTCTGCCTCCCGTGTGCTGGGATTAAAGGCATGCGCCACCAATGCCCGTCGAAAGTGAGTTCTTAATTACCATTATAATATGGAAAATGAATAAAAGCAACTTTAAGTATCAATAATTTCACTATTACAATGTAGCACACAAAAATTATGAAAATAATTTATTTTAAATACTTCATTTTGACAAGGTTGAATCCATTCTATTACCATAGCATTTTATAAGAGTTTTCCTCTTGGATTTACTGTTCATATGTTAAGCATATTTCCAATTCTAAATGAAACACAGTACCACACTGGATATTTATATTGATAGTAACTCACTCTAGTCTAAAATAGTTTTCTTTAAAACAATGAGTCTCATCAGTTATTCTATTAAAAGTGAGTTTTAAAAATATTTCTATGTGTATACGCACACATGCATGCATGTATGCATCCATCCATACATACATACATGTAAAGAACCTGTTGTGTTTATGTTGTTTGTGTGTAGTATATGATTTCAAGGCTGACACTCTGCATTGCACAGTGAATGAATAAAGGGACTAAGCCCTGAGGGAGGCTAATTCTCCTCCCAGCACTCATTAGTTGCTCTAGATTTTTGTCTAGGAGTGTAACCCTGAAAATTTCCCCTTCCATGTTGAAGTGTCCATTGATATTGCTGTAGGAGAAAGTGTTTTGTGGCCAGTTCTGGCTCTCACAACATTCTGAACCCTGTTTAGGATTTTCCCTGAGCTGTAGACTCTCTAGAGGTGATACAGATGGATCCTTTGGAGCTGAGCTCTTCATAATTTATCATAACCAGTTGTGACTTGCACATACACACATGCACACATATATACCCCTGTGTGTATGTGTGTGTGTGTGTGTGTGTTTGTGTGTGTATAAAACAATAACAAAGAAAAATAGACTGTCAGTATGGCAGGAGACATTGGAGAAGTTTAAACTAGAGTAGCAGGGAGGGCTTGGAATAATGAATTTGAAGGGGAGTGCTGTCATTTCAATTACATTAAAAACATTTAAAAAATCATAGTAACCCCTCAGAAAAGTTGGTACCTTACAGATTTAGGTCATGTGTTTAAAGTAAGGAAGGAGAAACAAATAATGTAATTTTTGCATAACTAGATTTATAAATATGTAAATCCAAATAATACCCAGATAGCTACCCATTTTAAACTGAATAGCAAATATACATCAAAGCCCATGGTATTTGTGAATGAAATTAGCAATTCCATGGTAATTTCATTTTTAAATGAGTCAAAATCTCCCATTATTGTAATGTTCATGGTAAATTCTCTTTAAAAATGAACATCAATATTCCATAATAGGATTACTTACATACTTAGACTTATGCCTTTTTATAAATACTGTTACTCAATGTTTTAATTGTACTGCATTGTATTGTACAATTATAGATAATTTTATATAATGTATTATAATTATATGATTGCATTAGGTAAATGAGTTGTACTTGAAACAAAATAACAAGAATATACTTGTTAATTTTTTCAATATTTTTTATATTTTGTTTTCAGTTTAACAACAATTATACCACTGTTTCATTTTGTGTCTTTGAAAAAACTAGATGTCAGCAATAACTGTCTTTCTGGTAAGTGTGGAATTCTATTTGTTTCTTTATTTGAAATAATAGGTTTTTAATTTCTGCTTCAAAAGGAGTAAAGTGTTGTTCTGAATTCGTAAGCATTTGCATACATGAAGATGAGTAAAAAGGTTACTGCTAGCTTTTTTACTGCTGAACATTTGGCCATTAAAATGTTGTTAAAGCATTATGGATTGAACAAAGCCACTAAAATGTTTTTACATTTACTCTCCAGTCAGTCCCCTCCAAGTAGCAGCCACAATCATAATTTTCCACCATAAGCTATAAAAACCGTATATATTCTCCTGGACTTTAGTTGGATCTCTGAGGTAATTGGCCAGATCTCATGATGTTGGGTCTGAAATTCTAATGTCATCCCTAAAACGGTTGCAGAAGTTCTAGCATCAGGTTTTTAGACCTTTCTCCAGATGCTGGAAACCTGGAAACCTGGGATGTTTTGAGTCTTTTCAGCCGGCATAACACCCAACCCTTTGCCAAGGCCACGTGATGAATTCTCAAAAGACATCTCCAACATTCATGCACTTCTCAGTCCTTTCTCCCAATGTTCTAGCCTCATTTCTAGCAGTTTCCACTTTAATTAAGGAAAAAAGAATCTGTGTATGCCACTGTCATTTTAGATAAACAATAATGTTCTTCTAGACATAAAATTATTGAAATCATAGAACAATCAAAAGGACATATTGTGTGTTTCCCTTCTATCAGATCTAGACTTAAAATAATAATATGTGTGTCTGTGTCTTTGTGTGTGCACACAGAATACATGTGTAGTCAGTGTTGTAATTTTAAAAAGCTGCTCGAGAAAGACACCATGCAACCAAGTTAAAGTGGTGTTTGTTTGCTTTTTTTATTAAGAGAAAAGGATTATAAAAAGAAGGGGTGTTGCTGGTTATCCTATTCAGATACACCTTGGGGGAGGGGGTGAGAAGATGCAGCACCAATGACTCCAGCACTGGGAGTCAGTGAATAGCAGAGCATGATTCAGACAGACTCCTTTATTACAGAAGTTAGGCCTGCCTTTATACCCCTTCCCAAGGTCCTTTTGGCTCAGGCAGCTGACTCTGCTGCATTGTCCTTTCCTCATTGGTGTCTCGGGTCAGGTGTCTCTTTGTCAGCAGTAGAGGAAGGCTTGGCTCAGGGAGGAAGTGCCTGCCATTTCTACATATCCACTTTTTTTTTTTTTTGATGCGTCCTAGTGGGAGTGGGAAGCTTCTACTTCCTTGTCCCTGCCTCAGAGAGCATCCAACATGCCAGCCTACCCAAGCTGCAGTTTCTCCTACAAAAGGGAAGGGGGGAGACCGGCCTCCAGGGACAGGAGCAGCAGAAAGGAGAGGCAGAGAGGCAAAGGTGGGGGGGGGCAGAGGGAGGGAGAGAAAGAGAGGAGGATGGGAGGTCAGCAGGGCCCTTTTAAAAGGGAACATGGTGAATGTGCACAGGTGTGCTCTTAGTGGCAGCAGCTGAGGGTGCATCCTGTCAGAATGCCAAAGGCAGACCAGTACAGATGCTTGAATACTAACAGTCAGTGCTAGTTTTCTGTGGGAAATCAAGTCTATACACATTGCTCTGTAGAGTAGCCTAGATTTACCTATGAGCTTTACTGTTATGTGTCTGTTGATGTATTTAGCTTTAACACGTGTTGTATCCTGTTATATTTGGTGTCATATTATTGTTCTAAGTATAGCAGAACATTAAATCCATTACCTCATTTAGTCCTCACACATTGAGACAGTCTAAAACTGGATTGTAGAAATGAGTTGTCCAAGTTCACATAGTTGCTAAATGGTAGAAAACCTAATTTTACACTATTTTGTGTTCCACTCAGTACCCACTCTGTTCTGAAAGCTTGGGGATATTCAATGGGAAAAATTAAAATACTAAAATATCACTTAATTTTTAATTGGGAAATAGGTGATGCATTTATGACAGTTTTTGTTCAAATTATTCTTGCTACTTTGCTAATTTTCATTCATTTTTTTTTTTTTTTTTTTTTTTTTTTTTTTTTTTAGATCTTTCAAGTGTCATGTGTTGGTTCAATGCGTGCTACTCTCTCCAAGAGCTTTGTCTCACTGGAAACCCAGTACTTCAGGAAATCAACTGGAGGTAAGGAAACAGTTTTTTAATCCACTAGTATCCTGTTTATCATTTTGTGAGACAAAATATGATATCAGTTTTCCTACAAAATTAAAGTTCCTTGAATAGCATGTTATCTTTGCATGCTAAAAAATTTTCTTGAATATAGATGAATTGATACAAATTTGCAAGTATGATTGTGATGCAAGCAGGTGATGAAAAGCCAAGTTGTTATGATATTAACTTAAATTTTGTTTTGACAGAGGAAACATTTTCCGTCAACTCCTTGTGAGTCCTTTTAATCATGTAACTTACTATTTCAGTTATTTCCTTCTGAAATTGGACTGATAAAGTGAAACTGGACTGGCATATTCCTTACTTGAAAACTGAGCCTGTCAAATTTCAGTTAGATCAATTGTTGTAATATACATTTTATTATCTATAAGAAGAGACCCATTTATCTAGAGGGTTTAAGATGAAGAAGTCTATAAAATATGGATTTGCTAATGAAAGGACTCAGGCAACTTTGATACAGTTTGTTTCGGTGAACTTTACATAACCCCATGGTACCAACAAAGGGATTAGTTATAGATTTTCCCAATTGGTTTCTTACTTTCATGTCAAGCCAGTGATAACATGCAAAAAACTGATGCACTGAAAAAAATCTCTTTTAAAACATAATCCACAGGCAACATTTGAAATCCCCTTTGAGAATTTGTTTCATTGGCTGGTGATTAATGGAGCTTGTTAAGTGGCAGAGTATGCACCAGGAAGTTTTCACTGAATGAAATATTGATTTGGCCCTTGAGTAGGAGGAGCCCAGCTGGAAAAACTAATCTTGAGATCTCACAATGTTCTTATACTTCATTCCCTACATTAATCAGCCTGCTCATGTATTCCCCATAAGCTCATGTGGCTGACTGGTGAACTCAAGGGCAGTCCACACACTATTGTCTTTTGTGATTCTGAGGACTGTCCCCTTCAAAAATTAAGGAAGAAACTGTTTTTTAAAAAAACATAAATCCAACATGAATTTTAATTACATACCTCACGGATTTTAACATACTGTTAACTGTCTTGAAATGCAAGCAAATTTTTACGTCCACAAGAATGTCAAAATATTCTGATTTAAGGGAACTGCTTGGGAATTTTTGTATGCTGAAGTGAGGAGGACAGCATCAAAATACGCCTCTCATAGAAATTCAAGCCCATCTTAATGTTACCTAAATTAGACTCCCTAGCTAAAATAATCTATACTTATTTATATTTATATCATTAGCCAGATGGAAAGTATTCGGTGATAAAAGTACGATTTTGTCTTTTTCTTAACTGGTACTTTCCATACAAACAGCTGCCAAATAGTGATAACTGCAAAGTTTTGGAACATATCTGACATCCAATGCTGTCCTTAAAACTTACTTGATTTTTCTTTTAAAATAGGAAAAATTATTTTTTATTATTTGATAATTTTATATAAAATATTTTTATTATATTTCTCATGCTGCACCCTTCTCACCTTCCTTCCCACCTGTCTGTTAATACTCTACCTCCTACCCCTACTCTCCTTTTCTTCCTCACCCTCCTCGTCTTTCTCCTCTGTGTGTGTGTGTGTGTGTGTGTGTGTGTGTGTGTGTGTTGTGAAATACTCTTAAGAATAGAGCCCACTCCACACTGTAGCTGACTTACCATGGCTCACACCATTAGAAATAACTATCTCTCTCAGTAGCTATCAGATGCTAATAGCTCCTTGGCTGGGGTGAGATTTTCTGCCTAGCATCCACCCACCTTTCACATACTTGAATGGTTTTGGCCTATGCATGCTGTGTGGACAGTGTCCCAATCCATCCTTTTGAGTTCCAATGAGCAACTAACCTGTTGTGTCCAGCAGACACCCTCCTGGTAGTGATCCACCAACTCTGACTTTTGCATTCTCTCCACTTCTTCTTCCTCAAAGATCCCTTAACCTTTTCTGGAGGGGACTTACCCTTCCTTAATGGTTCCATAAGATTTCAAGTTTAAAGTAATTTAAGAATATAGAATTACTAACACAATAATTTTCTTATATTTATCTAATCACCTTACTTTTCACTAGCAAAATAATTTTTACCACTAAATTGTAATGTCATTAAAGAACAGAGCCATACATCTAATTAGTTTATATCTATTTATTGACTTCTTCCAGTTCATTACATTTACTGAACAATCATGAACTATTTATTACATATGTATTGTTTTCCCTTTTATTGAAAATAGATTGTTTGTCTTATACAATATATCTTCATTGCAGTTTCCTCTCCCTCTACTCCTATCAGTTCCTCCCCACCTCCTGTTCCTTCCCGATCTACTACCTTTCTCTGGGTCATTAGAAAAGAAACTATTTTAAAAATATTCTTTTCTTGAGAATTTCATACGTAAGTGCTATATTTACAGAACTATTGGCTCAAAATACTCTCCTCTGTTGCTCTGGATCTCTCCTGTCTTTTGGCTGTTATCAGCATTTTGGATTTTGGGCATTCTGAAAGATGTGTCATGACAGCTCATTATTATTTTAATTTGCAGGTCCCTAGTGAATCTGAAACTGCACATTTTTCATATGCTTGTCTTCTGTAAACCTTCCTTAGTAAGTGTCTTAGTCAGTGTTCTATTGCTGTGAAAAGACACCATTACCACTGCAAATCTTACTTATTTTAAAAAGTCATTTAATTGTGGATTGCTTGCAGTTTCAATCCATTGTCATCATGATGGGGAGCAGGCGGAGTAGCTGAGAATTCTACATCTGGATCCACAGGCAGCAGGAATGGAGAGATACTGGGAACTGCTTGAGCATTTTGAACCCTCAAAGCCCACCCCCAGTGACACACTTCCTCCATATAGGCCACACCTACTCACACAAGGCCATATCCTCCTACTCCTTTTAACTAGTACCACTCACTCTTAACTAACCATTCAAATATATGTCCGTATGGGGGCTATTCTTACTCAAACTACCACAGTATGGTATCTGTTTCATTCTCTTACCCATTTTAAAATCAGTCATATTTCTTATTTTAATTTTGTTTGTATATTTTGAATAAGTTTTTTATTAGATTTGTATTTTTCAAATATTTTCTCCTTCCTTGTGGGTTACTTTGTGATTTTGTTTTCTTTTCCCATAGAAGTTTTAATTTTAATTGTATTCAGCTTTTCAACTGTTTTTTTCCTTGATCATGATTTTGTGTCTCTGTGTGTATTTGCATTAGATTTTTTCCTCTTTTGTTATCTTCTACATATTTTCATTTTACAATTATGTCTATGATGCATTTTAACTTCACATTTGTGAAAGGTATAAATTTGTCTACATTCAGAAGTTTTTCATTTAAAAGTCCCCAGATTTGCTTCATTTGACTGTGTTTACTCTTTTGTCAGAGATTTGTGTGACTTTATTTTTGGCCTTCATTGCTATTCTGCTAATCAATGTGCCTTCTTTTTTTGTTTGTTTGCTTCTACCTAATCTATGCTGTCTTACTTACTATAGCTCCAAATTTAATCTAGAAGTAATATGTTGTCTTGTCTGACATTTGTTTCTTCTTCAGTTGTTTGGTATTGTAGATCTTCCATATATCTACATACATTTTTAAATTCATTTATTAATATTAATTAAATACCTTCATGGATTCTATCTGGGACTGAATTGAATTGGTAATATAATTTGGGAAGGATTGTTGGCTTGATAACATTGAGTCCTTCTATCCACGAGTATGTCATGTCTCTATTTTTCTTTGCTATTGGTCATCAGTGTCTTAGGTTTTCCCTAATAAGGAGTTCATTTCTTTTAGTTGTTCAAGAAGTCTAGTTTTCCACTGTGACCATTGTGAACAGACTTAACTACATTGTAAAACTTAGTTACACTTTCCTTATGAAAGGCTTAGGCAGGTACTTTCTGATGGCTGAGTTTGATCTACAGCTCTTGCTATCTGTCCTGTTTTTATGCGTTTGTGTTATGAATTGATTTAGTCTTTTGATCATACCTAGAAAGGTCCATTATTATGTTCTTTGATAAAAATTATGGAGAAAATATAATTCTAGATGTCATTTTCGCACAAAACCAGAACCCTTCCCCACTCCCTGTTTTAGTACCACTCACATTATATTCTAATGAGACTTGATAAAGGTTTGCCTACATTCTCAAGTAAATAGCAATTTTCAAAAGTATTATCATTATAAAGTTTCTCAACTATCCTTTTAAAAAGAGTGGCATTTGTAGTACAATTATCCATTTAATAAGAGTGGCATTTTTGTAGTACAATTTTGGCTCAAGTTTCCAACATTGATTCCCTCATTAGCCATTTGAGTTTATTATTCATTGTAGGATAAAGCTATAAGATATGTAAAACTCATCTTGTATGTGGCAGAATATTAATGTTTTTGGTAAATTTAATTCTTTTTTAAAATTAATTTTTAATTTAAATTCAAAAGAATTTTATTTTACATAACAATCTCAGTTCCCTTTCCCTCCCATTCTCCCATTTCTCTGACCATCTCCCCATCCTGAGAAAAGGATAACTAAGCTACTGTCCCTCAACCCCAGAGAAGCTAGGAATTAAGGAGGAGCCTAAAAGAGACATAAATTACATTCTTTTCTGAGATAAACATGCTGTGCTTGTTATGTGATATTTTGTGGTTATTTTAAAACTAAGTCCTTATGGAGATTATTAACATTTTCTTCGTTCCTAATAGGTATTCTATACTTAAACTCCTACCTGCTCTGAGAATGCTCAATGGTGACATGCTAAACTCTCACTCTGTTGCCCATGTTGAAGAGCACTTTCATCAAGACCTAGCATGTTTCTTGGCCTTTTGTCAGTACCAACTTCAAGAGATCAACTTATTAGCAGAAAAGTATACCACACAGAAGGGGTAAGATTCTGATTTTCCATCTGTTGTATTTAAAATAAATAATATAATGTAAACACATGATTAAATGTTTTATGATTACCATGGTGACACTAGTTTGATTAGGAGCAATGTGTCTGGGGTATTTTCTAATAGTGGGTGTTATCTAATAGTGATAAATTTATTCAACAATTATTTTTTACATGATTGTGTATCCTTCAAGAATTCATAGTTAAAAGAGAGTAAAGTTTGAAAGCATTCAAGTATATGGCACTAGAGTACAATATTATACATATGTAATATTTATATATTATCTTATGCCATTACAGTGGAAAAAAGGCTATCAGTGTTTTTATATGTTCATAGGGCAAATGCTGGGAGTTATCCTAATCCAATATTGAAAACTGAGAATTTATTTTTACTGATATTGAATTCTGAATGCATTACAATGAGTGAATTTTACTGATCATTCCATAATACAAGTTAAATTTGTCATTGCTCCAGGAAATACATGAGCTTTAGTATTTCTGATTGTTTCACCTATAGCTGTTCATTATAAAGAGAAAAATAGTACGGCTTGTTAATTTTTAGTGCAATTACTAAGCCATGTCTTCTTTGTTTACTCAATAAGTTTTACTTTTGAGATTATAATTATATAATTTTCTGTTGTCTTTCATTCTTCCAAGCCTTCCCTCTTGATTGGGGAAGGTCTGTATTCAGAGTCAATCAGGTTCTTAGAGATACCAGTCTGTTGAGTCTGCTTAATAATTGTTAGCCAAGAGAGAAAGCCATAAGACCTCTTTTAAATGCATGAACTCTTTTTTATTTAATTGTTGTTATAAATATATATGTCTGTATGTATGTGTATGTACACACACACACACACACACACACACACACACACACACACACACAAGACCTAAGTACTTAAATATAACTGCTCAGTCTATATAAAGGCATTTATGTGTATGTTTTCAAGGTTGACCACTGGTATTGGATAACTGTCCTGTATGGTCAGTGTGCTCTAAGAGTGTCTAGCAGACTAAGTCATAATTTAATTTTTACTATTTACATTGTTGTACACACTTTTATCAGTTCATTTTCTGTTTGAAACTTTTGTGAGTATATGCGTAATTCACAATCAAATTTTCACTGCTTAGAAATAGTTCTAATGTAATAAAAAGATTCAAGCAAATTACTACTATTTATAAGCTATATCCATAAACTAGTTGACAAATTGTAATTTATTTGTTTACTTGTTTATTCAGGGATGGGGTGGATTAGAGTGCCTAGGACATACTGTACAAGTGCTGTAAACTGAGCTGCATACTCAAAAGTAAGCAGGAATAATGGAGGTTAAAATTGTGACTAATAGGGAAGGTCACTCAGGTCAAATCCTTTACATTTGTTAAGGTTTTCAAATGAGTAGATACAGAATTTTGATCAGTTATATAGGAATAAAACCCAAAATATATAAATCCAATAATTGTTCAAGAACATTATTCATTTATGTTTTAGTTACCTTTGCCATGAATAACAGTTGTCCATAGAAAAATAGAAATAAAATCTTTCCCATAATGTAAGTTCTTTGACTACCCAATACAAGTATTTTGTGTGACAAGAGTCAGTGTAAAAAATACTTTTAGTTCATGAATAACTTCTCCAAATTTAGTCAGTCATTATTCTTATCATGATAGTAAAAGGTTTGATTTTTTTTAAAACCTGAAATACAGTAAATTAAAATGGACCTAAAATTTCACATCTTTTGTTTGGCACAGATGTTAGTAAACTAACATTTTGATTTTTATTCAAAATAACATAAAATTGTGTATAAATGATGAGAAATAAATAACAATGAATTGTGTTGCCAATTTAAGTCTATCTTTGGCCCTATTGTAAATTTTATTTTTAAAACCAACACATTTTTGTGTCCATAGGTGTAGGTCTACTTATTGAATGTTTTGGTCTTTTATTTGTTCAGGGACATTCTGACTTTGCATGCTGCAGACAAACTGTGTCACTACTATAGGAACTTAATGAAACTCAGTAATGAATGCAGACGTGCACATGAACTTGGGGATGTTGCTATCATCAAGAGGGCTGAACCAGAAACCGAGAAAAACCATCCAGCCCTTTCAAACCCCAATAGCACACTGCAAAACAAAGTCTTCCATTCCTGGACTGACAAATATGAAGCAGATCCACCAAATACTTCTGATAACCTGATGGACTCTGGCTACAGACCTCCCTCATTAACCTGTGAAGAACCTGAAGGAAGAAATCAGGAGAAAAACATGACACACAGCAGGATAAGTAGTCCCTCCACCAGAAGAGCCTCATGCATAGAAATGAAGATGGCAAATTCTCCAATGAGTAATCCTCAAAGTACTGAACACAGTGAAAAAAAGTGAGACTTTTTTCTGTTATAGATGCTATATTTACTGTTGGCATGTCTGTCTTAGAAGAGACTTTAGACTTCTAATAGTATTGAGATTGAAAGACTATGAAAGACCAAATGCATTGTCAGAATGACATGGGCTGTAGGGGAAGGGAAATGGAATGTGGTGGTTTCAATGAGATGCCTCTGTCTCGTGCATTTGAATACTGGGATCCTAGTTGGTGGTGCATTTGGGTAGGTGTAGGAGATATGGCTGACAGGTAGGGATAGATCCTTGGCCCCTGGATTGACTTTGTGGAAGCTTTTGTCTGTGGTTCCTTTCTTGGAGCAGAAAATTTCTTAGGAATTTTTCTTTCAAACTTTAGAAGCTTGGCTGGGTAGTTTTGCCCTCAAAGTATTCTTCCCTTTTTCCAAAGCAGATCAAGCCTTTCCTGAATCCCCTGATCTCTCTCAATACAAGCCTCGGCTGCAACATCTTTATCTTTCTCTTCAAACTACATTTCTTTCTGCCCACTTGCTTTTCTTTGTAGACCTGCACAATAGTGATTACCAGTCACCACAAGACAGTATCAATATTCAATCTTTTTGCAGTCTCATCTAACAAAGAATTTAGTTCATTCGATTTTAGATTTAGCCTGAAGAAACTGCTTAGGACAAGGGCAGAACTTAGCCACTTTTTCTTTTCTTTTCTGTTTTTTCTTTTCTTTTCTTTTGTTTCTTCCTTCCTTCCTTTCTTTTTTTTTTTTTTTTTGCTAAAATGTAACAATATTCTAAGTTGCTATAATATTGTTCCCCTCCAGAAACTTCATCTCCATGGTCCAAATTGCTTTCAGTATTGCTGTCTTCCAAGCTTCTCTAAAATGGCTCATTAATCTCTCTTTTCAGCATTCAATCACTTTTCTAGTCCACAGCCCCAAAGTCATCTCCATTCCCACAAAAACTTGTGCAGGTTTTTCACAAAATAACCCACTCCCTAGTACCAACTTCTGTGTAAGTTACTTTTCTATTGATTCGATAACACATCTAATCAAGGCAATGTATAAAAGAAGGGGTTTATCTGAAGGTAAGGTTCCAGAGAGATAATAATCATCACTGTTAGAGGAAGGCAGCTTGGCAGCTGGAAGGCAAGGTGTCTGGAGCCCCAAATGGGAGTTCACATCTCAACCCTGGAGACCAACTATTTAAATGCTCAAGGCAACGGGGAACATCTCATTCAAACCACCAAAACAGATATAAATTTATTGAAAACTCTGTCAAGGAAATTTTGAGGAATGGAATCTGTTCTCCAGATACTTTTTAAGTCAAACTCAGGAATTCCACAAGAAATTAAGGTATAGTACCTAGCACTTTGATGACACCCTGTACCTTGATAAAAAAAAAAAATTCCTTCAATAGCCTGTATGAGAAAGGAAAAATCTCCAACTCAGGAGAGCTACTCAGTGTCTAAAATTGACAAATTGCTGTTGGCTGTGACGTGTAAGAATTCCCTAATGGGACGGGCATTGGTGGCACATGCCTTTAATCCCAGCACTTGGGAGGCAGAGGCAGACAGATCTTTGTGAGTTTGAGGCCAGCCTGGTCTCCAGAGAGAGTGCCAGGATAGGCTCCAAAGCTACAAAAAAAAACCAAAAACCAAAAAATAAATAAATAAATAAATAAATAAATAAATAAATAGAATTTCCTAATGGGCATATAAGATAGTAGACTGTTTTCAAATGGCCAAGAAGTGAAGAAAAGTTGGGGAAAACCTCATAGTGTCCCTCTTTTTACCACAAAGAATGTTAAGAGTGTCGATTCCTCCTCCTAGCCCGTAGTGATAAGCACCTAACCCTTCTTGCCAAGTTCATATGGGTTTCTGCATTTCTCTCTTTCTGTAACCCTGTCCCACTCTGTTACAATGCCCTTGTTATCTAGAAAAATCTCTGTAATATCTTTCATCTTTATGGAATTAAAACAAAACAAAATTTAAAAGTCTCTCTGAAACTAAATAAATCCCTCTCTGAACTCTGGGTATCTATACTAGTTTACATTTATGATAAAATTAACAAAGAAGAAATTTTTTAAATGACATTTTATATTCTTTATATTCATGTGCAGGTTACAAAGACCTTTTTTATTTTTTGAGAATTTCTTGTGAGTGCTGTATTTACAAAATTTTCACCCCCCTTCTCCCTCTAACTCTTCCTGTGTCTCCTTTACTCATTCCCAAATTTATAACTTCATTATTTGTTACATATTTATATATGCACATATGTGTTTATAAATACAACTTGACTTGTCAATTTAATGTTGTTCACATGTGTTTAAGGATAACCATGTGGGCATGTGGGACTAGATAACCTATTAGAGGCTCACTCCTGATTAACACTGATTTTCCCTCTCTCAGAAGGCATTTATTGTCTGTAGCTCTTCATCCAGGGGTGGGGCTTTTTAAGATTATCCTCACCCACAATAGCTTACAAGTGCTGTTGTCATTGTGGTGCCAGGTCCTGTTTGGGCACCTATATTGTTGAGAGTCCATGGGTGACATTTCCCTATCAAATGTAGAAGACATAGTTTGCAGCAGCTTATGAAGACTTCTTCGTACCTTCTATGTTCTCATACACACCAAAATAGTTTTCTTTTGTTTTTTCTTTCTCTTTTTCAGTAAGGCAGCTGTGTTAATACAATCCCAATGGCGTAGTTACATTGCAGGCAGACAGGTTGCTTTCGCTGCAAAAATGAATCCTACCACCGAAGAACCCCAGCATAATCCCTTCAACAATAGCCGGACTACTTCAAATAAAGAAAGAAGAAAAAATATTGTGAATGACCAAGAACAGAGGGAGAAGGCTGCTCTTCATATCCAGGTTAATTTCAACTTTTGACAGCACAGTTAGTCATAAAAAATATTTGACTTACCTTTCACTCATCAGCTATTCTGTATTATTAAGAGTTTCAGTGATTTAAAGTTATTTAAATTTATTTTACACTTGCATTGATTTGCAGGCTGCAGGCTAGTTAGCAGGTGGCTATGGCTCTGCTGACTGTGAATACTGTAGATATAGTCCTTAAATCTGAAATATTATGAACAGGAGTGTGGTTTAAGCTAACCACAGAATAATATGCAAAACTTCTCTTATTGTAAAAGTCTTTTGATTCCTTGATTTGATTTATTACAAGATATTTTATTCCTGCTTTCTTTCTCAGTATGTTTGTAGTTGGTATATAGAAGGCTACTGATCTTTTATCTTTTTCTATTTATTATTATTATTATTTAATTTGAATTACAAACAAGATTGAGTTACATGACAATCCCAGTTCCCTTCTCCCTCACGTCCTCCCCTACCACTCTCCCAACTAGAACTCTACCTATTACATATCCTTTCTTCTAATCTACACCTGAGTCAACCTTTCTGCTCCCTCATGACCTCTGCATTCTTCCTCTTCTTCCCTTCTCATTCTCGTAGCTCCCTCCCCCCTCTTCCCATGCTCTCAATTTGCTCACTTTGATTTCTTTTATCAAGAATTTAGTATGCACACATAATGAATTTTGCTAAAATGCACCCTCATTTCATTCTTCCATGTCCCCCCTCACTTCATTTGCCTCTCAAGTTCACATGTTCTTTTAAAGATCCACTGGGTCTACTTAGCAATAATGACAATATTTGGCAAAGTAGCAGAATACAAAATTAATTTGAAAGTCAGTAACCTAAGATGATCATGTGGTTTCTGTTCTTGAGTCTATGTGATTTATATATGTTAAGCAATTCATGCTTCTCAGGAATGACAGTGACCTGATTGTGAATGTTTTTGTTTATGCTTCCTTGAATTTAGTTTGCAATTGTTGTATTTAGAACTTTAAATTTATATTAATCAGGAAGATTAGCCCATCATTCTGTTTTTGGTTGTTGTTGCATCTTTATGTGGTTTTGGTATTAGTGTGGTAAAAACCTTATTCATAAAAAAAATTGGAACTTTCTTATTTTTCTATTATGGGACAATTTGAGTATTGATGTTAGTTCTTTAAAGGTCTGGTAGAATACTGTTTGAATCCACCTGGCCTTGAGGGTGCTTGAGTTGGAGGATTTTTAATTATAGTCTCCAAGTACTACTATCTCAATATAATATTTGTCAAACCATCTAAAATTTGAGTAGTGAAAGCTAATAATTTGACCTAATTGATAGCTATTCTAGAAGTATATTTAAAACTCTAACAAAATGTTAAAATTCTAAACATACCTGCTTCAGTCTCAAACTTGGAAGTCAAGAAGTGAAATTGAAAGAGTGGGATTCTGGAAATAGAAGGATGCAGTGAGCCATGAGCCAGAGAAATGGAGGGGAAGAGTAGGAGAAGGGAGAATCAATCAAAAGAAAAAAAAAAGCCGTAGGGAAAAGGGCCACTTTGTATGCTAATTAGAAATTTAAATATGTAAATAAATAAATTAAAATTTTTACCATAGCACCACCAAGACCAAATTTCAAAATGAATCTTAACTTGATTGAGTACTTTTTTAATTTTTATTTATTTACTCAACTGATTTTTTTTATTATGTCTTTACTGTAGTTCATGCTTAGAAGCAAAAGTGACTGGGAGTTAATCAACTGTGTCTTTTAACTTTATGGAATATTTAATATTACATGACTTACTTAATTGGCAAGCTAAGTAGATAGAGTTGCTAGAAGAAAAGGCCAGGAATTTGGGATTAGTAATGTTTTTGTATATTTTTATTTTCTGTTTTTGGTTTTTTGAGACAGGATTTCTCTGTGTAGCTTTGGAGCCTATCCTGGCACTTGCTCTGTACACCAGGCTGGCCTCAAACTCACAGAGATCTGCCTGTCTCTGCCTCCTAAGTGCAAGGATTAGTAATATTTAATAAGTGCCCATTCTGTGGTTATACATTTTCTATACATAAATTTTTGAACTAATATGATGTTTATTATTATATTTACATTTTATAATTTAATCTACAGCAATTGTTTGTAATTTTACCTTTTATTTGTGGGTACATTAGGATAACCAAGATCATGTCTTCCAAGTGGATTTCAAGCCTCCATTTGAGACTTGTGAAATCACCAGCGGGTACATTGTGACTGGAAGCAATGCTTTCCCTGAATCTATGTATAGAAAATAGCTAGAATGCCCTAACTCATTCCTCCATCTTTGCTTGGCTATTGGTGGCCCATTCTTAGGCAGACGCAGTGCAGTCACTGTAGTTGTTGAGACTTGGTGATTGCAATGGTAGTAGACTGCCCAGATGGTATTTTCAGCCCTTCTCCATACCTTCAGTGTTTTTCCCCATTTTTTAATGTTTTTTATTTCATTTTACATTCCAACCACAGTTCTCCCCATAGTCTTTTCTTCATACTCTTCTGCATTATTCTTTGGCCCCTAGAGTGGATGGTATACATGACTTGAGGCTGTGCACTCAACTATCATTTATTCTCAGTACCTTATGCATCCAGAAGTTTCCACTTTCACTGAAGTTCACTGGAAAGAGAGGCCTCTCTGATTAAGGCTGTGTGATTATTGTCTATGGGTATAAACATATATATTAAGGTGGTTCCATGCTATATCAATCTACCTAAACAACAGAGTTCAATTTAATCTTGGTGTAAATTGGCTAAATCCTAAACTGAACTAGAAGTCCACAAATTAGGTAAAAGACAAATCAACAAAAGTAAAAATTTTGCTTAAAAATAAATGAGAATATTTATTCTAGGCATACCTAGGCATACCATCTGCTTTTCCTGGAAATGATATGTCTGTCTGTCAGTGTAAGAATGGAATCTGAAGTCTCACTTTTCTTTTGTACTTTGAGATAAAGTTATGATGCTTCAAACTCATTATGTAGCCAAAGCTAGCTTTAAAATCCCAAATGTACTTGCAGTAGTCTTCCAGGTTGGAGGATACATGCAAACACACCACATCCATCTCTAATGTACTTGCTACTACTCTGAAGGCTATGTTGGGAGAGGCTAAATTGTGTCTGTTGATAGAGAGATTGAGACAACTTTCTTCCATTGGAGAAAGCGGGACAGGAGATGAAAGTAATAGAACACGGACAGTGCTTGAGAAGGATGCCTTGGGGTTGAGAGGAAGAATTCAATTTCCACATCACATGCGAACAATGGATGGGCAGAGGAATTGAGTGATATACAGTCTGTCTTTCTGATAGTGCAACCAGATCAGAGACTAAGTCCCTGTCCCTGGACTCCAGGGAGTCTCACATGTTTTGGGGTAAGAATGGAAACATTGCCAGGCTCAAGTATATGCTCCTAAATAACCACTTATACCTAGCACCTTGAGCAACCTTTATTGCTGAATAGAACTAGAAAAGGTCCACTGCTGCTGTCAGAGAAAAGAAGGAAGTCATGATGAAGATTAAGCCTTTGATTCTTCATTTGTTCAAATCCCATAACTATGAAGAGAGTACACTGGCAAGCACTGTATGTCCCATGTCTGCCTATGTCAACATCCTCAAAGTTCTGCCAGGACCACACGTGCTGACAGTCATTATCAGCAATAGCAAATTCAGCAGACTTTGCATTTGTCTGGATAGTGCCAGGCATTTTAGGACTTTTCTATGTGTTTGGATGCATTTTGATGACATCTTTGACAATTTAATTACAAGGTAACTTGACTACAGAATGAGAATGCAAGAATGTATGGAGTCTTAGGATATTCCACTTCTAAAATGCAGTTGTCTAAACTGTCTCCCTTGCCCCTGACCACTATCAGACTATATCAGTTTTTTAGCCTTCTGTATAGTTTCATTATCTATTTTGTTCATTTTAAGCCCCACCACTGTTAGAATACAAAACTAGAATAGAAAATCCATTTATTGCATGTCTTAAGCTCTACCATCTGTGCATAGCAAGTGAGAAATAATACATTTCAAAACCAATGGTCCTTGTTTACTGTCCCACATCTATATATGATGGGCCACATGACAGAACAGTGATCCTTCACACTGTTCATACAGTTATTTTAAAATCACATTTAAGATCTCAACATTTTCGTTCATTTGACTCTATATGTGCATCTATTTTCTTCTTTAGAAAACCTGGTCCCAATGGCATATTTAATGGTCCTTCTCTCTCTCTCTCTCTCTCTCTCTCTCTCTCTCTCTCTCTCTCATTCTTCACCTGTGTAATGTGTGTGTAGCTAGTTCAGGGGTTTTATACACAAATAATGGCCCTCACACAGCTAGTTTATTCCGAATGCCCTGTAGGACTCACAATCTCAGTGGCTTAAAGATAGGAAGAGAATGTGGTGTCTTATAGTGAAGGAAATGGGAAGCTTCATGTCTGCTGTGACTGGTGGTTGCTGCTGTAGATGGTGGTGGGAGGGGCCTAGGGTTGAAGCAGCTATCTGGTTTGCAAAGCATAGATAGCATTCTTTAGTGAGGCTTACATAGGGATAAAACCCAAGACTGTCAGTCCACTGACACCTCTCAGCGGTTCTTGGCCAGTTGCTTATGTTCTTCTGAGGACACTGTGATCTGACTTCTGAGACTGGCTCTTGCAGATGTGGCTGCTTTCTACCGATGAATACTGTCTGGCCACTTTGTATATTCTGATTTTCAGTGTAACAAAACTATCAATAATATTGTTGTAACAAATCTGATTACTCAAAACTTCTAAAATACCTTTTATAGTCAAATTTGTCTTTGAGGTGCATTTTTTAAGGTTATAATCAAATAAATCCATTTTATTTTGGTTTTTTGAGACAGGGTTTCTCTGTGTAGCTTTGGTGCCTATCCTGGCACTCACTCTGGAGACCAGGCTGGCCTTGAACTCACAGAGATCCGCCTGCCTCTGCCTCCCAAGTGCTGGGATTAAAGGCATGCACCACCAACGCCCAGCATAAATCCATTTTTTAAAATCGCTTTAAATACTTGTAGAATTATACACAGAGCATGAATCATACTCTTTTTTTCTAATGGTTTCTACTCATATTCATTTACTTTTATTTTTAAGAATTATTGTGAGCATGAACATGGTTTCAAATCATATTCAAACAAATGTCGATTTATCTGAGAATTAAGGTTTTTATTATTAATTTTTAAGACAGGGCCTGGAATTCACTGTTAAACTGGGCTGACCTCAGACCTTACCTAGATCCATTGTCTCTACCTCCCCAGTGGTGGGAAATCCAAGCTTCTGTTGATGTATCATTTAGCAGTCATATATAACCATTTAAAATTGATTTCATAATAAGACATTTTATTCTTAAATATAAGCAGTCAGACATACATACTTCAAGATATTCAAGTACCTCACTGTTGGTTTTATACCTCATGCATCCTAAAGTTCAGTCTTGCAATATATGAACATCAACTATTCTCTGGAGCTGTACTGTACTGGCTGGAGAGCATCTCTATTCCAGGATTACTAGAGACCTGACTCTTTTTAGTTGCATTATTCTGTGTTGACTTAATTTTTTCCTGAAATAAATTTATTTGGGGCCATGATACTACCTCCTTAATATGGTCATTTAAATACACTGGGGTTTTTCTAAATGAGCTTTGTCTTATTTTAAACATAATGATTTGAAAATGAGCAAAATTGACCTCTGAAAAATGTCTTTCTTCTTGGTTCAGAATGGGTCCTGGAGGAATTGTCAGATAATTGATTGGCTGACCTACATGTGCAGTGGAGGGGAGTGTTAAAGATACTTCTCCGCTTACCACAAAGGAAGTCTCTAGAGATGCGGACACATGTGGTCATTTAATTTATCTTGCAGTTTTACATGTCACATAAAGTTCAAGAAACAGATTATTGAGCCATTAAACTAAGTTCTAAGATGTTTTATCTTCCTAATGGGATAACACAGAGAATCTGGTGTTGGGTTTGATCTGTAACCCTGAATAACATACTTCACATTTTTGTCCAGGCAGTTTGGAAGGGCTTTATTTTACGAAAGAAACTGGCGACGGCCCTGGAGGCTATCAGGGATGAAGAATCTGGAGAGGAATATGAAGAAATAGATTTAGAGGATTTTGAATATGATGAGGTAAGTTCCAACCAACTACAACACACAAATATTGCTCCTAAACTATTATTCTAGACAGTTTCAAAGCTAATGCCTCAGCTGGTTGCTGGAAATGTTGTAGGTAATCACCATCCTTGAATACATCCTGGCCATTTTGTGTGTTCTGAAACACTTTCTAAGCTGGTTAGTAACATAGTAAGATAGGTATTACTGCTACCTTATACCCTTTTCTTACTCTGTGCTCCTGGTTTGTACAATGTATAAAGTGATAATGGAATGGTTACAAGTCATTTTGTCCTCTTGGACCGGATTCTTTGGAGGTTGGTGCCTTCTTTAACCACAGTGAAAATATTGGGGAAACTACATTAATAGAACATTATGATATATCCAAATTTAAAGCTGTCCTACTAATGTCCAGCCTTTAGCTAGAGACGTAGCAAGCCAGGATTGTAGGTGGCAATCCTTTTCCTTCATCTCCTGTGAATGAAACAATTCCTCAATTCTGTCTTTGGACTTCATGACTATGATACTTTTCGTTAATATAAAATTCTGCCTTCATTCATGTTTTGAAAATACTGAATGGGAATAAACAACTTATCAATTGTCCATAGTCCTGAGTAGTGTGGTGACATTTCCCACCTTCAGTCTCCATCTTGTCCAGGACATGAATTACCTGCTTTGCTCTTTCTGTTAAGTATCTATGGCATATGCCCTACCCGCTTCCAAGCTACTTCTCAGCCAAACACTGCATAATTACAATGTTTGTGTTCATACTAGGATTATTTCACTCTTAAAGTTAGGAGCACAAAATTAATTGTTCTGGCAATTTTATTACAGTATGTTAGAACACTTGTCCTGTTTTATTATTCAGTATTGTTTTGAGACTTGTAAATATTTAATAAATTACACTTTATCAGAGCTATGTGTGTATATATGAGAGAGAATAGTGAATGTAGGGCTTGGCTTTACTATGGTTTTATGGACCCAGTGAGGGTCTTAGATCCTATCTCTCTACTCGATAACTCCATCAGTTAATTGCAATTGCCTGATTGCATTTGAACATAGTGACACATCAGTGAGAATTCATTATTTATCATTGGAAAAATATTCTTGTAACGGTAAAATACAAGTTACTTTGAAAATAAGTTAACTGCTTTCAAACCATATTTAGAGCTTAACTGTAATATCATTCTAGTGTAGCTATCATGGTAACTTTTATCTCTGCTGGTCTTCAACAGTAATTTACCCAAGTGTTGAAGGTAGGAGTGAATCAGAACCTGTGTTCCTTGTTTGTCAAATGAATTCAAAACAGGAAAGACTGCCCTATAATGACTTGTGTTTATGAGACACTGAGTTCTGCTCTCTCATTATAATGACAGCAGAAAAATACAAATTTTCGAGATATCTACATTAGAGAGAAACTATAAAGATTTCTTTTATAACTTTCCCATGTAGTTAGGTTAAATTTATTCCTAGATGTTTTGTGAGTTTGAATATTAAAGTCAATTCTGTAAATTGGATTAGTTTCACATATTAATCTTTTAGTCAGTTTGCTAAAATTAATCCTAATGTTTGGGTATAATTTGTCAAAATTTCTAAATGCCCTATATGTACAGTTACATCATCTACAAATAACAAAAATTTTCTTCTTTTTCTATTTCTTATTCTTATATGTTTTAATGTTTCTTTCTTTATTCTCTTGATTTCTATGTCCAGTGCAATTTAAATTATGGTAATCAAAGTAAATATCTTTTTTTCCTTCCCCTTGTTTCAAGATGGGAACTCTTTTTTGTTTTTTTCTTTGGTTTGTTTTTTGGGGGGATTTTGTTTTGTTTTGTTTTGTTTTGTTTTGTTTTTTTGAGACAGGATTTCTCTGTGGCTTTGGTGACTGTCCTGGAACTAGCTCGTGTAGACCAGGCTGGTCTTGCACACAGAAATCTGCCTGCCTCTGCCTCCCCAGTGCTGGGATTAAAGGCGTGAGCCACCGCTGCCCAGCAAGATGGAAACCTTTAACATGTAGTTTCTAAGTAAAATGGTTCTTATTCATCTCCTGTAGAAACTTTGTGCATTAGGAAGATGTCACCTTTGCTAACATTTACAGATTACAGTGATGGTGGTGGTGAGGATTATATGTTCTTTTAATTTTATCAGTATTCATATATAAATCATTGACTTCCTAATACAAAGCTTTATATTCCTTGAGTAAATCAATGCAGTATAATGCAGTTACTAATATATATATGTTATTTTGATTTAAAACATTTTGTTTAGGTTTTTAAAATTTGCATTTTAAAAACAGTTGAGCCTAAAAATTGGCTTTCTTCTCTAGCTCTTTTCAGGTTTTGTTCTGAAGGCTGTTTTGGTTTCATACATTTGGTTTTGATGTGTTTTCTGTCTTCTGTCTTCTGAGAAACACTCTGTTTTAGGATTGGGAACTGTTTATAATAAAGTCTGGAGACATGCAGGCCTGTAAAAGAAACAGGGCTGGGAGATAGTGCAGTGGTTCAGAGCAGAATAATGTAGAGAATCCACATTGGGATCCCAGGACCCATAGCCACAACACTAAACCAGCTCCAGGGAATCTGACTCCCTCTGTTGGCTGCCAACTTCATTGCATTCAAGTGCACAAACCCAAACATAGATACAGAAACACAGTTTTTAACAAGAAAAAGACATGAATGGTCTGCTACCTTTTTAATGTGTTTATATGTGGTTGTAGGCACATGTAGAGGACAGATAAAGATATCTGCTATCATTGGCTGCCATCCTGTATAGTTCTCCAGATTAATTTTTTTGAGATAGTGTCTATGACTGAACCGGAAATTCAATAATGGGAAAAAATGACAGAAAAATTCTTGGGGATCTTCTGTCACCCTGATGAGCAGTGGTATTGCAGAGGTGTGCCACATCCTTGCCTAGCTAGCACTCTACTGGCTGAACCATCTCCCAGCTCAGATCAATATAATAATTTTCTTCTGTTTTTAAATAATCATTGGTCCCCCTAGTGATCTCTCAGTTATGGTTATGGGTATTTTAAAACAACTTTTAGTTTTTATATGATAGTGCAGGCCTACTATTTTGAGGCTTTGGTTAGAATGTACATATGATAATTAAATCATTGCATCATGGAGCCATCCATAATACAGTTCCCCCTTTACTCTAGTTTCTCTGTTGAACTATTTGTTTCAGGGGTACTTGCTCTATATTTATACCTACACAGATTTGTTTGGCAAGTGCTTTCTGTTATTTTTTTTCCATTTGTTCTATCTGTTCTATGTTTGGGTTTTTAAAAAATATATTTAAATTTTTCACACTCTCCCTTCTCCCACCCCCATCTTCCCCCATGCCCCCCCCATCTACTCCTCACAGTGGGTAAGGCCTCCCTTGGGAAGTCAACAAAATCTGATTCACCAAGTTGAGGGCAGGACCAAGCCCCTACCCCCTCCATCAAGGCTGAACAATGTATCCCACCATAGGGAATGGGCTTCAAAAAGCCAGTTAATGTACCCGGCATAAGTACTGGTCCCACTGCCAGAGCCCATGCCCCCCAAACAGATCAAGCCACATAACTGTCACCCACATTCAGAGGGACTAGTTCAGTCCCATGCAGGTTCCCCAGCTGTCAATCTAGAGTCCATCCACAAGCTCTCACTAGCTCATGTCACTGTGGTTTTCCCCACCATGATCTTGACCCCCAAGCCCTTGTTCATATAATCCCTCCTCCCTCTCATCAACTGAAGTCCAGGAGTTCAGCTCAGTGTTTGGCCCTGAATTACTACATTTGTTTCTATCAGTTACTGGATATAGGTTCTATGTTGACGATTAGGGTAGTCACTAATCTGATTATAGGGGAAGGCTAGTTCAGGCATCCTCTCCACTATTGCTAGAAGTCTTAGCTGGGCTCATCCTTGTAGATTCCTGAGAATTTTCCTAGCACCAGGTTTCTCCCTAACCCCATAATGGTTCCCTGTATCAAGATATTTCTTTCATTGCTCTGCCTTTTCTGTCCCATCCCCTAATTAATTGGCCATCTCAATCCCTCATGGTCCCATCCCCCATCCCTTTCTTTCTACCTCCCTGTCCCAGTTTACCCAGGATATCTTAACTATTTCCCCTTCCTGGTGCCCTCCATGTATGTCCCTCTTAGGGTCCTTACCTAGTTTCTGTGGAGTTGTAGATTGTAGCCTAGTTACCTTTGCTTTGCATCTAATATCCACTTATGAGTGAGTAAATACCATCTTTGTCTTTCTGGGTCTGGGTTACCTCAGTGTAGGGGAAGCTGTAGCCACGCCTTCTTAGGGGCTGGCTACAGGAGTACCTGAGGGCTTGTGAGGGCGTGGTCAGAGTGAGTAGGGGGACTGCGTTTTCGGTTTCGGTTTCTCTTTGCTTCTTGCTGTACAGACTACCACCGGCTGGCTGGGTCGCTCTGTAAGTAAGGCTTTTCCCTATTAAATACCCTTATATTTCTACCTGACTCCGTATTGGTAATTTCTTACTATACCTCAGTTGGAATTATTTTTTCTAGTTCCATCTATTTGCCTATAAATTTCATGATGTCATTTATTTTTTTCACTGAATAATACTCCATTGTGTAAATAGACCACATTTTCTTTATCCATTCTTCAGTTGAGGGACATCTAGGTTGTTTACAGGTTCTGACTATTACAAATAATGATGTGCACATAGTTGAACAAATGTCCTTGTGGTATAATTTTGCATCTTTTGAGTATATGCCCAAGTGATGTTGCTGAGTCTTGATATCCAATTTTCTGATAAACTGTCATACTGATTTCCACTATGGCTAAACAAGTTTGTTCTCCCACCAGCAGCGGAGGAGTGTTCCCCTTACTTCACATCCTCTCCAATATAAACTGTCATTAGTGTTTTTGATCTTAGCTATTCTGACAGGTATAAGATAGTATCTCAGTGTCCTTTTGATTTGCATTTCCCCAATGATTGGAGTTTTCCTTTCAGTACTTTCTGTAGGGTTGGATTGGTGGCTATGTACTGTTTAAATCTGGTGTTTTGTTCAGGAAGTGGTCTCCTGTGCTAATGTGTTCAAGGCTATTACCCTCTTTCTCTTCTATCAGGTTCAGTGTAACTGGATTTATGTTGAGATCTTTGTTCCATTTGGACTTGAGTTTGGTACATGGGGATAGATATGGATCTATCTGCAATCTTCTACATCTCAACATCCACTTATGCCAGCACCATTTGTTGAAGATGATTTCTTTTTTTCCAGTGTACAATTTTGGCTTCTTTGTCAAAGATAAGGTATTTATAGATAAGTGGATTAATATCTGGGTCTTCTATTAGATTCCATTGATCCATGGGTCTTCCATGGGTCTGTTTTTCTGCTAATGCCAAGCTTTTCTTTTTAAATTATTACGATAGCTCTATAGTAGAGCCTGATTTCAGAGATGGTGATGCCTTTGGAAGTTCTTTTATTGCACAGGATTGTTTTAGTTATCCTGGGTTTTTTTGTTTTCCATATGAAGTTGATTAATATTGTTCTTTCAAGATCTGTGAAAAATTGTGCTGGGATTTAGATAGGGATTGCATTTGAATCTATAGATTGTTTTTAGGAAGATTGCCATTTTTACTATGTTGGATCCACCTATCCAAGAGCATGGGAGAACTTTAAATGTTTTGATATCTTTCAGTTTCTATCTTCAAAGACTTAAAGTACTTATCATACAGGTCTTTCCCTTGTGTGGGTAGAGTTACCCCAAGATACTTTGTTATTTGTGGCTATTGTAAAGGGTGATATTTCTGTGATTTCTTTCTTGGCCTGTTGATCATTTGTATATATGAGAACTACTACCTATTTTTTGAGTTAATACTGTATCCTGCAACATTACTGAAGGTGTTTATCAGCTGTAGGAATTGTTTGATAGAATTTTTAGGATCACTTATGCATACTATCATATGATCTACACATAGCAGAAGTTTGATTTCTTCCATTCCAATTTGTATTCCTTTTATCTCCCTTTATTGTCTTAATGCCCTATCTATAATTTTGAGTACTGCTATTGGAATACCAATATAAGGAGAATTTCTACATAGAGTACTGTTATAGTCCTGCTAGTGTAGCACTCCTACAAATATAGAGAGATCTATTATGTAGTGTACTACTGTCATGGTCCTGCTAGTGTAGTACTCCCAGGACAGAAAAAATGAGATGGTTTGACAGGTGCTTTAAAGATCATTTTTTGTTGTTTTCTGTTGTTGTTGTTTTGGTTTGGTTTGGTTTTTCACTTACAATGTCACTGTAAATTCATGCCAGGCCTGACAGCACCAGTGTTCTCCTTAACCACTAGTCAGATGGCCCAGTGTCTTTCCCTAGTTGTCATCATCTCATTTGAACCATTTCCCTTACAATAAGATCACTAATTTGAGGATAGCTGGTGTTCAGCAACCTGTGATCTTTCCTTGAGTAAATCTGCATTGACATGTAGAGGGAGACTTTTCTCCATCTAGTCTGGGTCCTACTGGAACATTCCCCATTGGGTCCCCACAGCCATTTATAAAATAACCATTCTGATGCTTAATATCTATTTATAATTGCTTAGCCAATGACTTAGGCTACTTATTGGCTCACCCTCTCTTATAAATTAACCCATTTCTATTAATCTGTGTATCATCCCATGGCTTTGGCTTACCTCTGATGCCCTGGCATCTTGCCTCCCTGGTGGCTATATGGCATCTCTTTGATCCCACCTATTACCTCTCTCTATCCCTGTTCTGATTTCCTGCCTGGCTTTACTCTGTTAAGCCATTGGCTGAAAGAGCTTTAGTCATCAATCAATAAGAGAATCACATAGTCACAGCACACAAAAGGACATCCCCATCATTGCCACTAAGAAAATAATTTTTAAAAATGTGCCTAAATTTTGTCCAGAGTTTTTTGTTGAACTGCAATTCATTTTTTAAAGGGAAGTCATCAAAATTTTTATCATCTGTCTTGAACCAGACAGTCACTCTAAATGTAGAAGTCAATGGGAGTTTATTGAATTTCTGATATGATTAACAAGTACTTAATATTAGCAGCTTAAATGTGTTGCAAATATTTGCAATATCTTATTTTCATAACTTTTCCAGAAATATCAAAGCAATTGGCCCTCATGTCAACTCTTTCATTTCAAAGTCTGACTAACAATCTCTTATTTCCTTTCCTTGCTGTGTCTCCAGAACTATAGCATTGTTTCTGGGCTACTGTTTTCTAATCTTATCATTCTAAGATATGGGAAAGATGAACACTAAAGGTTTCAGTGAGATTCTCTCTCATGCCCTCTCGCTGTCTCTCTCCAATAATGCTTTATTTGAGAATATTCACATTTAAATAATTTATTTGAAAAAACAAAATTTGTATGCTTATTATTCACAACATAATGCTTTAAAACATGTCTTCCTGGTAGAATCAAAATATTAATTTTATCATTATGTACAGTAACCATTTTACTTATTATTTTGTCATGAGTGCAGCTAAAAATCTCTCAGAGATGTTTAGTAGATTGTTATTTGCAATAATCACCACAAAATTTGATAGATTTCTTAAACTTACTTCTCACTGCCCAATGGCAACCATTAAACTCAATATAACTGTGAGATAGATATTTGTATGTTAAGAATACATAATAGGAAATCCCATAAAATACTTAACTGGGTATAGTTGTCCCATTTCTATGATATCAGAATACCATAAACTTGATTCTGTTTCTTAAGACTAATGCTCACTTAAAAGTGTGTTGTTACCTAGTCTACCAATAGTCACTGTGTCTTAGTCCCACATTTTTAGTAGTCATTCAAAAACCAAGGCAGATTGAATTTGTGTAAATGGAAAACTCTGATAATATCCCCTTAGAATATAATCTTCCTGATTTTCAAAATGTTTGACATTTTACAGCTTTCACAATGCTAATCATTGTTCTGGTGATCCTTGTTTGTAAAGAATCACAGAAGTTTATTCTAAGATATATTAGATAAGATAACTCAATTAAATAAAATTCATATTATTGTATCTTAAATGTACAGCACTTATATAATTAATATAACTTCATGGAATAAAGAATAAGGTTGGGAACTAGCTACATGGAACAGATATGATTCAGGATGAAGAGAAAGGTGTTACAAAGCAGAAATTTTGTAGTTGAAGTATGAACTAAATAACTTTTTTCCCATTTAAAGAGTTGTGTTGAAGAATAATTACATTTGAATTGACATACTATACAGTCTTAATTCATTCTTACAAATTTCTCTTCTATGTCCACCCAAAATACTTCTGAAATTTGGAAAATAAAAAATTAAGGCAAACCTTATCGTACATGTAGTACTTAAGGACAGTTGGTTCTAATGTGTTTAAATATTGTAGTTTAAATAACAAATTAATAGAAATTATGATTTGCATGGCAGCTAAGAAACTGATACCTCTTGGTTACTTCTAGACTTAGCTGACAGTCAGTAATGAACAAATATGCAGAACAATATTTACCTTATTTTTAGTGTACTCAAATATCAGTTCTTTCCTTAAGCAAAGTGTGTGGATGAACACGCCCCCCCACATCAATGTTTTATAACGTGTGCCTTAACCAGAGGCACAGCCTCTTACAAAATCAAGTAAAACTTTCCTATAAATGAAAGTCCTCGTGGAGTTTGTGAGTATTTCTGATATATTGTACAATTTCAAGGAAACAAGGTGCAGGTTTACAAGTTATACTTTGTCCTTTCTAATGCCGTTACTTGTGCAGGATGCCTTGGAGAAAGACTGGCCAGTTTTAGATTCCACCGGCTTCCCTTCACAAACACTGCCTCTCTCCAACCAGCTGCCCTGGCCAAAGGTAAAATGTCATGGACGCTGTGGAGTGCTCCATCTTTGCTGCCTTCTGAAGGTTCTGCTACGCTGTGGTGATTAATACTGCGATTTATTGACTCGAAAAACATAATTACTTTTAGAAGCCTTTGACTTCCTCCCCATCCCCAGATGTAATTTTTCATGTAGCTTTTCTTTCATTTGCTCTTTACTTTTTCTTTACTTTGGATTTCTTTCAACGCTTTATTTAACAGTAGCCAGAAAAAAACTGATGCGCCTCAGCTGCATATTTGGCAGTAGACTAAAATCACCAGTTGAAGGCACTTTAAAAATGCAGAAATACTCCCTGAGAGTCGGCAGCTGAGGATCCTCAGCCAGAGGTCGAGGGGCCGCAATATCTGTTATTTATTTGATAATCTTTGAAGTTTTTGTTTTCTGGGACTTCTTAAGCTTTGCAATTAATCATTTTGTATGCATAAGCTATACCAACAAGCATATTCTTCCCCATGTAATAAAAGAATATGTAAGCATGTTCCAGAAGTTTCATTTGCTTATCCTTTTAATTTTGCAATGAATGTCCCTTTTGACACTGCTCAGATTTATACATGTTAGGTAACCATACAAATGCTGTTCAATTTACTTTACATTTATTTACATTTTTAAAATAAGAACGCTCGGACTTTGAAACATGATGAAACTTCCCTTAGTGTGCCAACTCATCCAGCTCAGGCATGGCTATGCAATGAGAAAGAAAATTTGTTTTCATCCGAACACACACAGTTAAGTAGCAGGTAAGCTAAATTACTCTTTTAAGTGGGAATCAACTTTGAAAGACAAAGCCAAAAGTACATATCCCTTACAAATGTAGAGCAATGATAAAAATAGATGGGAATTGAGTGGTTCAGAAGACAAAACACATGGAATGCTAATATGGAAATTCTAGCGTTCAAAATGTGTGGAGGAGATGCACAAAAGCAATGACAAAACTTAGACTTTGGTGAAATAATGCAATCATTGTGCAAATGGATCTTCATGGCTTGACAGGTAGAGAGGAGGTCTAGAGTGAAGATCTCAGTGCCACAGCCCTTTCAGCAAAAGAACTGAAATATGCTCCGTGTAATTGAAATGTAAACATTTTAAATTAATGGAAGACTTTTATTACTTCTCAAGATAAAGCTCCTCTGTGGCTTAAATAGATTTGATTTCCAAGTTGGAGACAACATAAACAGCTTGTAGTTTTTAAGAGAGCTGATGTATTCCTGTCGATTCTGTTACGAAAAACAAAACATGCATTTCTGTTAGCAGATCAGAAAACAGAACTTTGTCCTGGACATCTGAATCAAACACAAGTAGGAAGAGTTTACTGCAATCTGAAAAAGAAGAAAAAATTTCAGAAGAATGGTAAGTCCTCTGTTTTTTACACTAAAGAAAATAAGTAATTGAAGGACTGCTGGAAATCCAAGGCAGCTCTTTCCAGGGATGGGGGGAGGGCATGCAGCACATTCAAAAAGAAACTAATCTTTGAAATAAGTTAGGCTTTCTTAAGTGAGATTACAAATTAATTAAATGTGATATAATTTAAATGTACATTTTCATGCATGTCTATGTTTAAATATGCCTTAGGTATATTAAATTTCTCTTTTCAATAGGGGCTTTAAGGATATTTCTACAGCTCAGCAGATGCTAAAGAGAGCACAGAAAATGAAATCAAAAAAATTAAGGAAAAAATTAGGTAAGCTATGACCTTTGAGCAGTAGCTGTATGTGATATTTACTGTAAATTTTTTAAATGAAGTTTTCTGTTATATTTAATATGAACAGAAATTAATGTACAGATAACTATATCTAAGATAGTAACTATGAAATCCTCAATTTCCAAAGAAAATTATGCAATCACATTTAATGATGTATTTTGCCTTTTTATTTTAAAAATATTCCTTGTTTCATTGGCATTGACACTGACTTTTCTTTGTGCTGTACACTATGGTGATTATGCTATAATTTGTCTCTAAGCTGGTCCACTCGTGGAATGTTGATTCTAAAGCCATCCGCTTTGTATCTCATTCCATTAAGAGCTCTCAAGTTTCTGGGTCAGTCAGCAAACTAAATACATATGTTTGGTGGATATCTGTAGTGATTTCACATAGGATCCCTGGAAAAGAAACACAATTTATTTTTTATGATTTTTGAAGAATTTGGTAAAAATTGGAAGGCACCCTTTTAATGTTTTTCCTATCCGCTTGTGAAACTGTTCAAGAAATCGTTTGTCTTGCTTTGGCCACTTCAACTCATTTTCATATCCAGGCTAAATATAAAGATGTCAGGCAAGAAATAGCAAATGGCTATGATCTTATGTCTTTTCTTAAAACTCTTTAAAATTATCTACATATTGAGTTTAACTTCTATTTTTATAATCTCATGAATTCATGTGTGTAATATAAGGCACATGACTCTTTTAATGAGCACTTTTGTTATAAGTAACCAAGAAGAAAAACTATTCTTGTAGCTCATAAATTACCTATTTATTTGTGTATTTATTGAAATCCTAGTTATATATGTATATGTTTAAAAATGTAAATTAAAATAGCAAAAATACCTTATTTCTAATAAATCAAATACTTGCCCTATCAATCACTAGCCATTGATAAATTCATAGTAATTCATTTTTTGGTTTTTAAACATGTAATTTTTCTGTGTTGGTGTGTTATTAGTTATTTTAATTTCTATGTTCTATCCTTTGGAGATAACTATAATTTTGTACCACATTTGTCAGATACAAAACACTGAACATTTAAACATATTAAAATGAGTTTAAGTGAGTGCCGTGTGTTCCCTTTGTCTCTACCTGCTGGGCACTGATTTTGCAAACCCCTGCGAAGTTCATATGCTATGAACTGACCCATGCTATGACTGCTTCAGTGAAATAGTAACTCCAAAGCTCAAGAGTGTTGAAGCTCAGTCTGGGCATGTGGAATACAATACAGTAGATAAGGTAGTTCAGTAAACTTCTTTATTGCTTTTATCTATTTCTCTGTCCCTCTACAAAGGAGCTGTTTTAATAATAATAATAATAATAATAATAATAATAATAATAATAATAATAATACAAAAATTCAAAGGCAAAATGGGTTGAGAAGTGACCCAGTCAGTATTCAACAGGAAATTGCGCATTTCTCTTTTAGAAGTTTTGCTAGATCTTTGAAAAGAAGTAATATCATGTTTGCCTCTTGTGGAGAGATCTGAGAAAATGTTTATGTCACCAGAACTTTTATGATTCTGCCACTGGAAATGTCTTTCTTCCTGCTGTTATCATCAAAACTTTGCTTGTTTGGTTGAAGAAGATTTGATAAGTCAACATATTAGATACGTGTCATCAAGCAATATCTGCATAGGTGTAACTTTTTCTTTCTATTTCACTTGTTTATTATAAATTAATTATATATATCACAACTATATATAATTAAACGAAAAGGAAATTTCTCTTTGTCAGTCACCAGGGGGCGTGATAGGGTCAAATATGAGAAGGGAAAACCCACAGTCAAACTTTATAGCTCCATTTTAACTTACTGCTTTGGCAGTCGTGAATCGGCAGGATGTATCAGGCCAAGGTTGTTATCTACAATTGGGACTTTTTAAATGAAAATCATTGACTGATTACAGAATCCCAAGAGACTCTTTACCACTGAGTGAAAAATTTCAATCTCTGCTTCATGTTTGTTGCTTTTTTTTTTACATCAACATATATTAATGACACAAAATCAATTTGACTTTAAAACCATGCCTAAGTACAGAGTTTAATTATGATTATCTTATGGTTCTCATGACTTTACTCCCTCCACACAGTAGACATACCCTTTGGAATAAGAGTGGGTTAAAAACGAGAAAGAAAAAAAATGGGGGACAGTCTTGAGTGATCACATTTTATTTAACTTATATTAAGTCCATGGTCTAGTACTTACACCATTATTATGTGTGAATAAATTATTTAAGAGTCTGTACGATGGCTTTTCTTTTAGAGATTAAAATTTAATTTGAAATCCTGTTGCCTTTCCAATTTTCAGAATTCACCTGGTGATGCGTCATTAACTTACTTACATATGACCATGATTTGAAATTTTTATCCACTAATGTTCGAAAGCAATACTTACTAGATTTAAGGACTGCTAACACTGTAATGTTTCCTAGGAAAAATGGAAATGTTAATGGAGTTACTCAGCACATCTTACATGGAAACCCTGCCAGCATGAAAATTTGAGGCCATGAGAGGGCAGCATTGTCCACAAAGTGCTGTGAGATGCACTAGTTCTGTTGTCTAAGGAGAGCACGGTGGTGTGTGTCTGTGTGTGTGTGTGTGTGTGTGTGTGTGTGTGTGTGGTGTCAGGGTTCGCTAATTACATGGAGTCAACACTATTGTCTGTTCTAACAAAGCAGTCATCCTCAAGGAAGCTGAGCATACACACCGAATACCTAAGAGTTAAATATCAGTTATGAAAAATATAAAATAAGCTGGACCAGAGAAAGCACTTAATATTTCCTGTGTATTGTTTACGTTTATTAGCCAAGGAATATGAACCAACAGTACTCATTTAATGTGAAAATGAAAACATGGCAAGTGCAGTGATTTGCAAAAGTAGGGGTTAATGAAACAAATTACTGATAGAAGAAAACTGCTGAAGAAACTGATTAATCACAAAACACAGTTGAGGAAGAGGAAGGACAGCTGTGAGGGAGGACCCAGTGCTGATGACATCTGCTGGCATAAATAAAGCCAGCTGCTTTAAGGAGCAGCAGGACCCAGTCAGTGTCCTGGGTAGCTCAGTTCACAGGCCTTCAACCCAGGTCTGGTTTGTTTCCTCCTATTATTTTGATGTAAAGCATCATTTGCATAGGAAAAATTAAGAGAAGCAGAAGAGGGAAGAATGGGAAGATGATGGTGGAATTGCTTGACAGTCTGGAGAGGAAGTTTAAAATTGTGTGACGTTCTCTTTATCATGGTTTACTCAGCTTATGTTTGGATTTGTGGTGGTTGTTGTTTTTCTTAGTAAGCAACTGTTTTTTCCCTCATGATTGACATCAGCTAGAAACAAAAGTGACTAGTCCTGTTTGGCTCATCGTCTGTTTGTTTCTTCTGTTGTCCTACTGAAGGAGGCACAAACGTAATTTCAGAATTTGGCGAGCAGAATTGGAGTTCTCATACACTGAGGGAAGTTTAAGATGCAGCACTACAATGAAGAGCATCCTATGGAAAGTGAGAGTTCCTGCTCTATTGAAAACATGCAGGGTCAATAACCCCAGGAAGGGGAGTGGGTGGCTAGTTTTGATGCCTAGCACTCCTTAGAAGCTCTAAGTAGAGGTATTTGGATGCACAGAAGCTCGAAAAACACAAGGGTAGAAGATGGAGAATGTAGACGTAATATTTTTCTCTGTATTTATCAAATTTATGCATGTTGAATTTTAGTTTTTGTAATTAGAGGAAAGAAAAAATAAGATGAAACAAAATAGGTTAATTTATTTTTGAAGGAAGGATGACTGGGATGGATAAAAGTGGTTCATCAGCTCTTTTAACACCTAATAGTATCAAGCATTTGATTGTAGTTCAGAAGGTATTTGTTGGTTTTATTTCCCGGAAAAATAGCTTAAGCCAGTTTGTATCATTGAATCCTATCCAAGAATTAGGTAATGTAGAAAATTAAGAAAGGTTCATTTTGTGCATTTGAAGCTGTTCACAGGTTGTGTGAAAGGAGTTTCCACAATGATAGTATAACTACTGAATTTTTAAGTAAAATGGATCAAGAATGATCAATATTGATGAAAGTTCATCAAACTGAGATTTGCTTCAGATTTATTTTATTTACCTCAAAGAATTCTAGAAAGAATCAATAAGAATATTAGTCAAACACTAATTTTTTGTGCTTCCAAAAGCAATAATATAATTCACTTTGAATTGTAAGCAGTCTATTTTGCATTAAATACCCAGAATCTGCTAATTTGTACCACCTAACTCAACAGTAAATTACCTGAAAGTTACTGAGACACATTTTTTTTTTGTTTTGTTCGAGACAGTGTTTCCTCTGTGTAGCTTTAGAGCCTATCCTGGCACTGGCTCTGGAGACCAGGCAGGCCTTGAACTCACAGAGATTCGCCTGCCTCTGCCTCCTGAGTGCTGGGGAAAAGGCATGCACCAACAAAGCCTGGCCTGAGAAACATTTAAATGTATATATTTACTGTTTTGTGAGTCTTTAATCAATTATGGATTTATATATGAGAAATTAAATTAGTACATAATATACATGTATATGCAAATAAAATTATTACTAATGAGGTTCAAGAGGGCCAAGGTCCAGCCCAAGCCATACTTAGCAGTGTTTTCTATATGGTGTTGGCTTTAGAGACATGATGCATGCAAATGTAGAGGAAAGATAGATTCCCACTTCATGTTTTCAGAGAGCTGATACGAACAGGCAGCATGTGACAGAGGAGTTTCTATGTGAAGGGCCAGTGAGGGCAAAAGACCATCCTGTGAGCATATGAAAGTGAAATCTAGACTTCAATGAATACCCCAAGATATTAGTTGTGGGCTGTCTACCAAGGAGTGCTGAATATAGGGAGTGGGGCCAGCCAGAGAGAGATGGGTGTTGTAGGAAGCAATCTAAGGGAAAGAGCACCTAGCCCTTTAACCTTAAAGTACTGGACATGAGACACAGAGCTAGAGGATTTGGTCTTTGCCTATCTGGGGTCCAGTCTTGCTTTATCCAGTATTTCCTTGCTGTGTCTCCATTCCTCCTTCATGGAATGGTAATACATATTCTATGCCATTGTCTGATGGAAGTATGTAATGTGCAATTTTGTTTTTACAAGAGGTTACAACTAAGAGATTGCCTTCAGTTAATGGAAGAGACTTAGATGTTCAGGCAGTGCTAAGACTGTGAAAACATTTCAAGTTGAATTTATGAAATTCACCTTATGTTATGGCCATAAGACTAGAGCCAGAGAGCTGAATGTAGTGGTTCGAATTAGAACTGTCCCCCATAGTCTAAAGCATTTGAACACTTGGTCCCCAGTTGGTAACACTGCTTGGGGGAGGTTTAGGAGGTGGAGGAAGCAGGTGGGGCAGGGTGTCATTTAAAAAACTTTGCCTGCTTTCAGTTTGCTCTGTCTGCTTTGTGCATTTGGTGCAAGATGTGAGCTCTCAGCATCCTGGTCTTCAATGGCCATGGCTGCTGTTTGGTGCCCTTAACTCTACTCAGCCATCACGTACTCTTATGCCTCAGGAACCATAGGCTAAAATAAAGTCTCTCTTTTTATGTTGGCTTTTGTACTAGGTGTTTTATTACAACAGGGTAAAAGTAACTGATACAGTCGTTCAGTTTGAAGAATGCTGTCTTTCATGCAGCAAGCCCTGAGGTCAGCCCCTAGCAGCTCACAAAAATTGGGCATGGTGGTACATGGTTGAAATCCCCTCAGAAGGGAGAGGTTTATGTTAAAGGCTATCCTAAGTTTGAGACCCGCCTACCTAGGCTGTTTAAGGCCCTGTCTTTTCTTTTAAAGACACAAAACTACATTTAATGATATTTCATGTAAGAAGAACAGTATTAAGGTAGTGAATTGTTGGGTAATATTCATTTCAGATGTGTGACTTTTTCTTTAACTCCGTGAAGCTGTGTTACTGTGCCTGTCTAAAACACATGGTGGCACTAATAAAGAGCAGAATGGCCAGAGTATGGATAGGTGGGGCTGGCAGGCAGAGAGGATAAATGGAGAAGTAAGGAAGAGGAGGAGCAAGAGAACTAGAAGAGGAGAATGCCAGGAGCCAGCCACTCAGCCACCCAGCTCCCCAGTCAACCATGGAGTAAGAAGGAAAGTAAGATATACAGAAGTAAGAAAGATAAAAGCCTGGAGGGAAAAGGTAGACGGATTGATTCCAGTTAAGAAAGCCTGGCTAGCAACAAGCCAAGCTAAGGTCAGATACTCATAACTAAGAATAGGCCTCTGTGTGTGATTTACTTGGGAGCTGAGCCCCTCAAAAAGGCAAAAGAGTAAAAGCACATCAAACAATAGTGAATCAAAACTGAGACTGTAGAAACTGAGAAAGGATCACACAAGAGATAGATATTGTCATAGAAACTTTATGAATTCACTCAAAGTGTGTTACCTTAAAGAGAATGATTACAAAGCATAACACACAAAAGCAAATGCATGAATGAATTTGATTTTTATACCTGAAAAACTCTTTAGATATATTTAAAGGTATATTTTTTCTTTACACTGGCAAAGCATGCTAGGAGAGAGAAAGAACTTTTAAATAACAATTATCACAGACAAGTATGCTTGATGAGAAAAACTGACTTTAAAAGTGAGCAATGTTGGATCCACCTATCTATTCTCTCCACAGCCTACCTTATTCTATGAATGATTAAAGGTATTTTCCAGTAATTTAATCATTTAGAAATGTTGCCATTACTTTGCTGACTTACATTTGCTTTTATTGAGTGCCTACGCTTAATGTGAGCTTGTCAAATCTCACAGTCCAAGTCAATGTTGGATAGATCAGACAGAGTGAAAAACCAGTTTGCTCACATCCATACAACTAGTAAAAGGTGGGCCTGGGATTTGGCCCAAGGTACAATGTACACAAAATGATGCACAAGCTATTCTCTGTACAGTATTCCTTTTTTTTCTGGCTTCCCAACTTGACTATGTATTTCCTAAGCCCGACACCTATTCATGGTGTTATTTCCAGGGACTATTAGTTCCATTTATCTTTTTCCATGTTAAATCACCATATTTCTTTCTTCTTATCATTCCCTTTCTAATTGAAATAAATTTTTAAATCAGTTTAAGGTGATGCAATCAAAGTGTTTTGAAACTAAAAGGATATTTATAATGTAGTAGTGCTCCACATATTCTCTTGGGAAATAAAAATTATTTTAATGAGTAAATTTTGTCAGACATGCATTGTAAATGGCTCATGTGTGCTAAAAGCTTGGCTCTGGATAACGGTATGAAGGAAGTGCTCTTGATACCCCTGCTTCACCTATAAATTCATACAGAGGGAGTACCATCTTTTCCAAGAAAGTTCCAAATAAGGCACTGACTCATGCCTTTGTCCACAATATTTTTTTCACTGGAGTAAAAGCTAGCCGATGATGGATCCATCCATCCATTTCCTATATTCATTTGCCAAGAACATAATTATTTGGAATTACGTTTGTTTGTATCTTTTGTTGAGTGCCTACAGGCACATGAGCATGAACCATTTCCCACCATTTCACCTTTGTATGGAAAGTCACTATTGTTCAGGTTGGAAAGAGACAGATTGGAAGAACAGTGTGTTCACATTCATACAACTAGTAAAAGTTGGAACCGATAGCTAACCCAGTTACATACAATTGTAATGCTATCCTTCTGAAAACAACAGAGATCAATAAGGAAGGAAGCAAGAAGAAAGAAGACTAAGAAAGTTGAAAGGTGATCATGACAAACCACAGCAATGTGCCACAGTTTGTAATATAAACTCATGGAATTATACTTTACGTTTCTTTTGAGATGTCACAAGATACGTGCATGGATTATATAGTTTATCTGTGCTATGGGGTGTCTGTACATTTACTATCATTGCTAATTCCTAGTGAGTTTTTGTAGGAACTTGAATGATTATAGGGCACAGGTATCTCAGAAGGGAGCCAAGCATTGACTAGTAGTTTCTGTAGACGTGATCAATATAGTGTTTGTGAAACACAAAAATGAGCTTTAATGGGGGCTCAGTTACTGCTAGAAGACTACTGAGAATTCCAGATTACTCATCACATAGCATCCTTTCACAGATGCTTTTTTCTTTCGCCTCTTAATGTACAGTCCGGAACTTACGACTTTGTCATTAAACTATGCATGTGTCTTTGATGTTTAAAATCATGCCTTTTTTGTTTGATGTATTTAAGTCTGTTACACTAGATGGTAATCAAGGATTCTTACTCTCCTAGACTTTTTTTTTCAAATAGGAAAAGAGTGTAAAACAAATGGGTGCCATCCTAAAAAGATGGTTTTTAAGGAACCATGCTAAAAGTACGCAATTTCCCGCCAGCTTTCATCCCCTGGTGCTTATATCACTGCTTCCTCAGTCTTTAGGCAAAACCTCTAAATGCTGCAGGGCCAAATCCCATTTTCACATTCCATAAAATCATTTATTAATAAGAAATTCTAAGACCCTACATTCACAGTGACTCCCTTTTGATATGATAGATTAATACTATTTGTAATTTTAAAACAGAAAAATTCATAAAATTTCTGTGTTCTTAATACATTAGTATAGAAGTGAAATCACCATGTTTTCACATGAAATCAATACTTTTTAGTAATCTGTTTTCTTCCTGTCTTGCTTCCATCTCACATACATGTTCTATGTCTTGTTTCCATCTTATGTGTTCTCTGTATAGTTTAGCGAGGATATAGTAAGCATGTTTTCTTTGCTGTTAATTAAAAGATCTTACTAGTCTGAGGGAAAATACTAGGAAAGGAATTAACATAATCGTAGCATGACTCTCAAATAAAAAGATGATGCCAACTGACAAAAGTATATATGCCCAAAATTTCACAATATTATAAACATTTCTGTCACTTACTAAAGGAGGACCATATATTTGATCATATGACTAAGAATATACAAAATGTTGGTCACTTTTTTTTTTTTACATCATCAAGTCTAAGAAGGCATTGGCAGTTTCACAGAGACCCAATGGAATGTGTGTAATTATTAATACCAGCATCAAGAAAACACATGGTTATATTAGAGGAGTAACCAAGAAGTGGTTTTTCTTTCTTCTTCTCCTTTTTCATTAGAACCCTCTGTTCGACTAGCAATATTCAGAAAACACAAAAGTGACATTTCTGTTACTAAGTCATCAAAGAGGACACAGCTCAAGAGAGATGATTACTTTGAAGGTAAGTGTTAATGAGAGACACATAAAGATTAAAAAGATCTTTAAGGATTAAAAAAAATGCTACAATGTTTTTAGCCCTCATAAGACCTAAAATATACATATCAACACATAAAGTACACATATATATGTATGTATGTGTGTGTATGTAAAATTGACTTGAAGAAGAAGTAAATATATTTATCAAAATAAAAACCCTATTTACATTGCTGATATCTTAGGATTTTTTTCATTTGTGTCAGTGACTGTCTAGATTTTAAATGTCTTCCATTTTTGTATAAATAACCATGTAATATTGCATCATCAGTTTTAATATTGATATAAAATGTTTACAGGTACAATTGCATTGGCCTCAATTAGTGAGATTGATCACATGATATTCCAATATACCTATAGTTAGTATGTTCAAATTTTTAACAGTAAGAATTATACTCTGTTATTTAAAATATTTCCAATAGTGAAGGCTTTCTCAGTTTTAGAATTTAAACTTTTCACATCTAGTCAACAGGTTACATTTCTGATTTCATCATACCAAAGAATTATAGACTTGCATTATTAAACAGAACCACAATGTAATTTATCAGCTTTATAACTAATTGTAATACTAACATTTTTATAATTTATTCTAACTGTAATTCCCAATAAGTATTTATAACAGGAAAAAAGGCATATTTTTTTAATGGAAAGTAACTGTTGTCTTCAGTATCTTAATATGCTTGCATCATTAATAGCCTGATTAAGAATGGGTTCATTGTGATTTGCAATTCATTATGATTTGGAAGTCACTGAATTATTGTGATATAGAGAGACATATTAAATTGTGTATGGTGAGAAGTATGACATCTGCAGCTTTCTTGAAAGTCTATAACAACAAAATACTTACTTAAAAAGATATGTAAAGCATGTGTGGCAGTTTATTGAGTTTACTGCATGAATAGATTACCACATGTATATATGTGTGTGGTATGTGTATCCTATTGTTTTAATATTTTCAATTTTTCATAGTAAAGACAATTTCAGAATGTAGTGTCCATTAAGGGCATCAACTCAGTATTGGGGCTGGAGAGATGGCTCATTGGTTAAGAGCAGTGGCTACTCTTTTTATGCAATAGTCTTTATTTTTTTATCATTTTTCAATTTAAATTAAAAAACAATCTTATTTTACAAACCAATCCAAGTTCCCTCTCCCTCCCATCTGAATTCAAGTCTCATCATCTACCTGGAAACTTAGAATTATCTGTGACTCCAGTCCTAGGTTTTCAAACCCTCTTGTAGTGTCCTCAGGCACCAGGCACACATGAGGTACATGCAAACAAAAATATCCATTCACATAAAATTAAAAATAAAAACCTCAATATTTTAGGAAATATTTTAATAGAATTAAATTTTATTTCCAAAAATAAAATAACCCTGAACTTTCAAACAGCATTCTTTTTCTTATTATTATGTTAACTACTAGTGCACTATTTTTATAAGTAATAATAACAATTGTGATAAAATTAGTATCAACTCCATAGATAACTTTTGTTAAATAAAGACATCCTTACTATAAAAGTCTGTCTCTTTTTTTCTTACCTACAAAAAAAGAAACATTTATTTTGGATGACTTGGACTTTCATAAAGTAGAGCTCTATCCTAAAATGTTCTAGTGTATTCTCACTTTCTTCTTAGATTGCATGTAAACAGCAGCATATTTTTCTAACTATGAACCAATATAAAACAGGCTAAGAAAATTCACAACAGAGACAGAAAATGTTTTATAGAACACAGTATTTGCACATAAGCTTTATCAGAAAAAATTGTTTTTTGTTTTCTTTCTCCCATGCGAAATGTGTTTGTTTTGGTGTTTTGTTTTGCAATCCTCCTAAATACTGGAATTTTCTTTAGTATATCAAATGAGTATTGTGTATATAGAGATTTCCTACCTAGTGGGTAATAGTTATTGTGGTTATTTTAAGTCGTTTGATTTCAAGAAATGGGCGTCACAATAATGGTTCTACATGAAAAAAATTCCAGTTAATATATTAACATTTGTCTTTTTTTGTTTTAAAAGAAGTGTAAAATGTAGAATGTGTGTGGTTTTCCTGGTTGAATCCCATGCCGTGTTAAGTGCTACTCTGAACTCAACCTGCACCTAGGCACATATTCAGTGATTCAAAGGAAAGCCTAATTTAGCTGACCAACTGCAGCTGCCATGTCATTGCTGTATTTTGAAACAAATTCTTCTGAGATACAGCTTGTATGTTATATACTATCCTTTTAAGACTATAATTCAATTAATCTTACCATTACATAACCAGCATTACCTTCCAGTTTTAGAACATTAGAACTTATTTTCCCTTAAGAAAAAATGAAATAAAATTAATAGTGAGAATTTGAACCCCCCATCAATGGGGAAATAAAAATTAAATTTGCTATACATTTAGATTAAATAACTCCACATGGAATAGTATCTCAGAACTATGGTATGCCAGCATTGTTTTTTTTTAATTTTTTTATTTTCCTCAAATTAGATCATAGTATTATTTGAGTATTGATTCTATGATTCTAATTTACTTTATAGTAACATTGTATGAGTTATAGGAAAACATTCTTTTTCAATTTTGTAGTCATGACCATGTGAAATGTCAGGATTCTTGTAAGTTGTATTAAATGCTTTGATTATTACTATGGCCTTTTTTTCTGGATGTCAAATGACAAAAAAAGATGTCCAAGTGAGAAATATGGTTATACCTGAAGAATATGTGATATGGAATTAATTATATTAAACAGTAAAACATATAAACATTTAGCATTCATCAGTCCATGTTTATAAAATACCTATTTATATAGCTTGCCATGTTTATGAAGTGTAGAAAATGTTTTTATCTTAAACCTAGGCTAGGTTGTGACAAAGTATATGCCATGTGTCAGATATTATTCGCTTCTTCCTATAGGACTGACAGCCTAAAGATTATAGAGATCTATTGTGGGTTTCCTTGCTTGCTTGCTTGCTTGCTTGTTAAGAACCTATCTTAGTTTACTACTGTTACCACATATAATTTTCACTTGGGTTTAAATATCTAATCTTGCCTTGAAAGTCAAAACTCTACATCCCCTTGAAAGTCTCTGAAAACAATTTTGTTTTTTTTTTAAGTTATCTGTTAAGAATCCTGAAACCACTTTCAGTATTTGTCACTGACCTAAGAAGAAACTGAGTTGTAGTGTTATATGTGCATGCCACAATTTGTCTAACACAGCCTAAATCTTTTTTAAAAACTAGCAGTTTCAACTATATGCTTAATTTTCTATAAATAAAAGTAAGTCAAATCATGTATATTTAAATATTTATAGTATAGCATTCATTAAACTGTTTTACAAAAGAGATTTTTAGGTTCAATCAGTAGAAAATGGCACATGGATGCTCATGTCACTATCATGGATAGTCCCTATTGTAAGGTACTTTATTCTTTTTCATATTATATTTATTGATAACTCATGATTATAAATATTATAAGGAGAAATGTGGTATTTTGTACATGTATACCACATGGTATGATTCAATTTAGCTAATTAATATGTATATTACGTCAACTGCCTATAATTTTATAGTGAATCATTTAAAGTATAACATTAACTATTCCAACGCAAAAAATGCTTCCTTATCTTTATAGTATCTTTGATGTACGGTGAAACTCAACACCTAAGTTTCCTGTTTAGGTTTTGATCAGCAACTTCTCATTCCCTTCACTTTCCCTACCTTGAGTTCTGGTAACTGTTATTCTACTCTCTATGTTCATAATCTCTGCATTACTAGATTCCACATATATGATACATGATATGCCATTTGTCTTTTTTATACTATGTTACTTACACTACTTTCCTTCAAATTCATTTATGTTGTCACAATAATGGGATTCCTTTCACCTTCCTTAAGACGGAACAATATTTCTTCATGTATGTATACTATATTTTCTTTACCCATTCATGTTTTAACAAACACTGCAGTTATTTACATATTTTGTGACTATGAATAATGCAATAACCACAGACTTTCAGATAACTCTAACATACTGTCTTCATTCCTCTGGATAATTGTGAAGTGGTGAAATTGCTAGATCCATGGTACTTCCACGTTCAGTTTTCTGAGGGATTTCCATAGTGTTTTAAACAATAGGTTGTATTAATTTATATTCTTCTAACCATGTACATTTGTTCCCTTTTCTCAACATGATGACTTTTTATCTTCTGTGTTTGTAATAATATCCATCTGACTAAAGTAGATAATATTTCATTGTGATTTTCATTGTCCATATGTTAATGATGATACATAGATAGAAAGGTAGATGATAGATAGATAGATAGATTATATATATTTTAAACCACTCCCGGCATCATTTTCTTCCAGTTTCCTCCCTATTTTTGTGGTCTAGTTTCAATTTATAAAAGAAACTATCCAGTCTGCATTGCATATGCTTGGGACTTATGTGCAAAAATGAGACTATCCATATATGTTTGGGTTTGCTTCTGAGTTTTGTGTCCCCCTTCATTGGCTCATGTGTCTGTCTCCATGCCAGTATTATGCTGTTCTGATGACAATTGTTTCCTAATGAGTTTGGAAATCAGGGAAATTGATGCCTTAGGCTTTACTCTCTAAGCTCATGATAGTTTTAGCTCTTTTGTGGTCCCATGCAAATTTAATAATTTTATTCCATTTATGTGAAAAATAACCTTGGAATTTTGATACAATTACATCGAATCTATCCAAAAGTCTTGCATGAAGATGTTAGCAAATAATATCTTCCAGCCCTTTAGCCTGGAAGAGCTTTCCATTTTCTCAATTTTTCTTCAGTTGGCAGCTTGTTTCTTGTGTGTTTGATATTATTCAGTATAGTGTTCTATTTCACTTCTGTAATTACATTTTCATATTAGGATTTTATTGTTGTTGCTTTTGCATTTAAGTTGTTGATTTAACTTCATTTTTGAGTCTTATAAATACATACATTTTATAAATATATGGAAACA